CACCTTCCTAGAGGAGCTAAAAGACATCCTCCTGGACCGCCAACAACACCATCCTGGGCCCGCACATCAAATTTATGTGATCATTTGGGACAATGTACGCTTCCACAAAACAAACCAAATCAGAGAGTGGTTCACCACCAACAGTAACCACTTTTTAAACGTCTGTCTGCCACCCTACTCCCCTTTCCTGAACCCTATAGAGGAGTTCTTCTCATCATGGAGATGGAAGGTTTATGACAGACAACTATACACTAGAGAGAACCTCCTAAGGGCAATGGAGCTGGCCTGTGTTGACATCCCAGTGGAGGCCTTCCAAGGATGGATTCGCCATTCCAGGGCGTTTTTCCCGCGGTGCCTGGCAAGAGACAATATAGCCTGCGATGTGGATGAGGTGATGTGGCCCGATGCAGCTCAGCGACATGATGCCGCACAGTGATTGTGGTGTGTGTGTGTGGTGTGAATAAAGTAAATAAAAAAACTTCACACCCTGATCATGTTTTCAAGAGTACTGTTGTGTGCAATAGATTCTGTTTTTGCATTGAGTTGTGTTACAGTAGTGTACATGCAGAATTTACTATAGATTTATACTCTTCATATGAAACTCTCAAATCTAAATGCCTAATCCTCTGCAGAGATCTAAGAACATCCATTACTGTAAAGTTTCAAAAATATGCATTGGCAGTTATGAAACAAAGAACCTTCTCACAAATTGAGCATTGTGTTTTCAATTGTTTTGCTGTAGTGTGTAATGATGTGTATAGTGTTTACATTTTTGAAAGCTTCGAGCTGCTCTTTTGGTGTGAAAGTTTGAGTTTTGAAGTGAGAAGGTGTGGTTGTGTTTATGTAGCTTTAGAAAAGGGTGTTGTGTTTAGACATTGGGGAACATGGAGGAAACGTTTGTGAAATGTGTTTTAGCATTTGAGAAAAACTGTAATCAGAGTGATAGCGTGGGGGAAGAAACTGTTCTTGTGTCTGGTTGTTTTGGCCTACAGTGACCTGTAACACCGTCCAGAGGGGAGGAGTTCAAACAATTCATGTCCAGGATGTGAGGGGCTGCAGAAATCTTCTCTGCCCTCCTTTTGACCCTGTTCACTGTCCACTGTCAGGCTTTGATAGCTCTGGATAACAGATATCTGATGGCTTAAAACATGCACTGTTAGGCTGGCCAATAGCTACCTCGTGGTTAGCAAAACGAATGTCCCGGGAGAACAAGACAGCCAGCCAATCACAGCCCAGCTTGACTTCGATGCCCTTGGCCAGTTTCTCCAGTGATGGGAGGTGATCAGTGGGGAAGTTGTAGGCCAGAGTTACATGGAGTTGCTTCTTGTGAGGCTCCACATGGACCTCTGGATAAAGAAGGACAGATCATCTGGTCACACCATTTTTTCTTTTTCTTCTTTTTTTCTTCTCCTTCCATCATTAAGGAAGGTAAGAATAAAAAGAAAACTGACAGAACACTGTCTCCAGCTGTGTTTGTAGACGTAATTTAAAATCAGATGTATAGTAGCTTCAGAACGTATCCTGATCATTTCACTTTTTGCATATGTTAATGTGGTTAATTTTAAATGAATAAAAATGCCATTGTTGTCCATCAATCTGAAGCTGAAATCTCTCCTTTACAAAATCACTCAGTGTTTTAATTCAGTACTTTGTAGAATCCCCTTTGGCAGCAATTATAGCCTGTAATCTTCGTGGGTAAGTTTCTACAAGCTCTGCACGTGTGTGATTTTGTGGCACAGAGATCAACTATATGATAAAAAACTGAATTTTGTGGAAATGCAAGTAAACAGATGTAGCAAACTGCTGTAGAAACATGCAGTACAGTATGCGCTGTGTTGAACTTGTTACAGAAACCAGGGCCCTCAGTGAGAAGATAAATCAAAATCTTCATGTGAAAAGTACTCCTTCTCATTTTGTATGTACATTTTATTTATTGCCTTAAAATCATTTGCCATACAATCTTAATATTTCTAACTAAAAATTAACCTTCCTAATATCTCTAACCCATCACGTTTGGTTTTATTGTAAAAGCCAATCACAGAATAGAAAACGAATTCCCTTTCAGAATCTTACCTTGGCTTGTTAACATCACTGCTCTTTCTTCTATAATTTTTTCTGGCCAATAGAGTTGTGAATGGGGAGGAGCTATTATATGATCCAGCTATTTATATCTCATTCATTTTTCCCATATATAATGTTATGTGACTCACATTTGGAGCACTTTTTATGGCTTGAACCAGCATTAAGCTGCCCCTGTCAAATCATAAGTACATGAAAATTTACATTTTGCATTTCTTTATTTGCTTGTTATTTTATTTCTTGTTGTTTTGTACTTCCCAGTTACTGGGGAACAAGCCTTGCTGATCACTACCTTTTGTGGCCCTTACCCCTAATGCCTGTAATTCCTACCTGCCTTGCTGGCAGCCTCAGTAGCAAAGTCGGCTGCAAACTGTCTAAGGATGTCGGCTGTCTGCTCGCCCACAAAAAGACCAATGAAGTTGGAAGATGTGTAGAGCTCCAATGGCAGCGGGCTGGGAAATCGACCCCGCCACTGTTGTACGGTGGCCTGGAGGGCCTCACATAGAGCCTCTACTTTGTGGTCAGCACACTGCTCAGGAGAAAACAGAAATAAATCCTTTTTAGACATGAAATAAGCAAAACACTGCCATCCTCAGCCACCTGCTCAACTGATGTGTTTTATATCATTCAGACTGGTATTCAATATGTATTATTTAAACATTCATAATGGCTTTATTCAGATGTGAAGGGACATTTACAGGAAGAGCAACAAGGTGTGTTTAATATTGCAACAGAGAGCAATGTCATGGTTCAAGAACAATAGTAAGTTGTCAAATTAAAAAGAAGTGTTCATAGAGTTTGCCTCAAAGGCTGCTTCAGGGAAGAAGATTAAAAGTAATTTAGCTGTTAAAGCCATAATTTATGAGGGACGCTCACTCTCCTAATCCCCTAAACCAGTGTTTCATCAGATCCATAAATAATTATTAGAGAATTCAGATGCCAATGTTGCAGTGTCTGACAGTACAAAATACAATGTTCATGTACAGTGTAACCACTAAAAACATGAACATAAAAAAGAATTAGTGCTCATTGTGTTTACTTTCTTCCTGTTCCGTTAATTTGGATGAAAGCATTGTGCAAAGGATTGAAGCAATGCAACAATAAAGGCATAAAAGAAGGCTGCTACCTTGTAAGTATGTATGTATACAAAATTTGGCTTTGCAAATGGTCTGTGAAAAAAAATACACACTACCTTTTGGTCAGTAACACATGGTCTGTGAAAAAAAATACACACTACATTTTGGTCAGTAACACTTTTTCTCTTGGCTGTTCCCGTTATGGGTCACCACAGCGAATCATCTGTTTCCACCTAACTCTATCCTCGGCATCCTCTACTCTCACCCCAATTAACTTCATGTCCTCTTTTAGCACATCCATATATCTCCTCTTTGGCCTTCCTCTTGACCTCTTGCCTGGCAGCTCCATCTCCAACATCCTTCTACCAATATAACCACTATCCCTCCTCTGCACATGTCCAAACCATCTCAATCTAGCCTCTCTGACCTTGTCCCCAAAACAGCCGACCTGAGCTGTCCCTCTGATGTGCTCATTCCTAATCCTGTCCATCCTGGTCCCTCCTAAAGAGAACCTCAACATCCTCATCTCTGCTACCTCCATCTCTGCCTCTTGTCTTTTCCTCACTGCTACAGTCTCTAGCCCATACAGCATAGCTGGTCTCACTACTGTCTTGTACACCTTTCCTTTGATTCTTGCTGCCACTCTTCTGTCACACAACACTCCTGACACCTTTCTCCACCCACTCCAACCTGCCTGCACTTGCCTCGTCACCTCTTTCCTACACTCCCAACCACACTGGACTGTTGACCCCAAATACTTAAACTCCTGCACCTTCTTGGTCAGTAACACTAAATGTAAACAACTTGCTTAGAAATAAACCTCAGAGGCCTCTTTAAATAGGAACATAACATTTATTCCTATGTGCTCATATGCTGAATGTAAAAAGTTTTGCTTCAAATAATTTCATCCATGCACTTAGTGGGTATGAATGAAAATTTAAAATATAACAAAGAGATTACTAATGTGGTTGTGCAAAGTTTTTTATGCCCTGCACGGTGAGGAGGAACATATCTTTCTAAAGTGTTATTTATTCTCTTTGCACAAAGAAGTTGAAAAATAAGTAATAAATGTGCATTTCATTTCTCCCTGTGCATGTTTTACCATGTGCTGCCGTGGTCTTTACTTTATACTGTTGGCACTGAACTCAGACTTGAGCTGTGTTAGAAGCATTACAAAACTGTATCGGGACTGCTATTGGGATGGTCAAACTGCCATCACATTAACATAATGCATGTCTGAAAGAGGCATTAATACGCGCAGGGACGAAGCAGAGCATCATGCAATCAGAATCCCACTGATATTTACTCTGTCTGGGGCATAACCTTTAATCATCAGCCTTCATAAAAGCTCAGCTGAAATTCCATCCAACTCACCATGAAGAACTGGCAGAGAGTAATATGGGGGAAAATGTTGTGGGCTTTGTTTTTGCCACAAGTGGCTCGACTCTGCTGCCAGAAGTGGGAGAGCTGGTTCTGTAGTGGTCCACTGGGACGCAGGTAGAGGACAAACTCTCTAGGGAGAGGGTCATCCAGGAATGGGTCATCCACATGTGAAAACAGCCTATGGGAGCGATGGAGGGGAATGGAATCAAGGAAAGGTATCAGGTCTGTTGTGCTGTGAGGACAGTCTTAACAACCTTAAAAGAAGGACTGAATAAGTAAACCGTCCTGAATGCAAATTATTTCAGCCATACAGCCAGCTCACCATGGCTAGCATGTTGAAGCCCTACAGCTCTTTTAAAACTGCAACATTTTCTGTACTGAACTGAGATTCTGAGACTGAAAAGGTTCCGTCTTGCCTGTGACATTTTTCTCCCTGCAGCAATGACAGCAGTGATTTAAAATGAATAAACTCCTTGACATTTATTCAAGACTGCAAAACACCCTATTTGATCTACAAGAATGTGGGGGGCTTAGTGGTGATAAATCCCTTCACATACTGTATGTGGTTTAATGTGCTATATTTTGGCATGCTATTAGTGAATCTCACTTACTCTTTATTAGGTCAAACATAGTTCAGACTGGTTTACTGTACTGAATGGGAGTGCCTCAAGGTTCTGTGCTTGATCCATTTTTTATTTTGTCTTTACATAAATAATTAAGGTGTTATACAGGGGATATCATTTTACATAGGATTAAATGTTCTCTCTCAGATGGACTTCAAAAACTAGTGTCTTTAATATTTTGCAGTCTAGACTCAACTCAAACCTGTGGTGACTTGTTTTCCAATACTAGGAGGAAGCAATTTTGATCACTGTTACAACTCAGGGAAGACAATAGAGTTTTTAATATTTTTGCTTGATTAAATGTTATATAAGCAACATGCTGAAATTCTGTGAGGACATGGTGATTTGAGTTTAATGGTTTGGCTCCATTTTACCTCACCGATCTAGTGCATTGGCACAAACCTACAAGGTCCCTCAGATCTTCAAGCCAGTTTCTTTTAGAGGTTCCCAGGGCCAGATATAAACGCTGGGGTGACTGTGCTTTTACTGTTGCAGCTGCTAAATTATGGAATAGTCTATCTTTTAATGTTAGGTCAGCTACTGACCTCATTACTTTTAAATCATTGCTTAAAACTTATTTATTTGGCTTGGCTTTTAAAACACATTAGGGCCTGATGCATTCCTTTTAACTCCTTTTAATTTATTGAACATATGTTATGTGTGTCTGTGTTATTGTGCTGTTTTATTTTTATTTGCACTGATCTTGTTTACTTTATTTTAGTCATTTATTGTGATTTTATTTTCCCATGTAAAGTACTTTGGTCAGCCGGATGTTGTTTTAAAGTGCTATATAAATAAATTTGACTTGATTTGAGTTAGGTTTAGACTCTTTTGACAGTAGGACAAGGTTGGTCACCATCTTTTTTTTTTTACATCTTCTGGATTATGGTTATTTGTTGCATGCCTGAATGCATCAGCAAGTGTGTACTCATGTTGGACTTTGTTTATCATAGCACACTAAAACGTATAAAGCCACTTAAAACCACTTACATATTATTGTGTTTTTTAATTCCTTTCCAAATGTCGACTATTATTGGTACATTTCTATTTATAAAGCTATTGTGGTTAAATAAAGGTAATGATTTTTCTTCTTGTTGTTATTGTTATAAACATTTAGCAATCTGGGCCATTACGAACAGCTATAATTTTTTAATATAAAGTATTACCACTGACTTTGCATTCAAGTGAATGAATGGCTATATGAGCTGCAAATGACACGTACAGACATTTAACACCTTTCTACAGCAGAGGGCAGTATAACACCCATTTTGTGTGTATGCACACTGGCCTAAACTTACCAGTCACATGCTGCTTGAACACTCCGGCCTCCTGTTGATACCAGAGCTTTCAGTCTATAAAAGAGCACAACAGAAAAAAAAAATCAAATGATGTCCTGAGCAACACAGACAATGTTAACTTATCAGGTACTCACCTACTGTATTTTCTGAAATGTGCACAGTAACAGTGTATGACAATGAGTGCAACGGGACAATGACAAACAGCAGAGAAGTGACTTCTGTGTTACATTTCTCCACCAGAATGAGTTCAGCAGCAGAGGAACACACTGATGTCACTCTTGGTGCAGTAGTTTGTTTTCTGATACCAGATGGTAAATAAAAGATCTATAACCATGTGGAAACTCTGACCATGTAGACAGTTTGGGTAAGGACTTTAGATGAGAAAAAAAATTGAATGTTTTGACTGAAGTGGATGATCCATTGCTGAGGGAACTATATGGCTCTTTAGCAGATAGAAGCTAACTTTGTCTATCTACTGTTTACTGCTGGGCAGGTAATATTTAGTAGATTTACCAGGGCCTTTTCTCTTTAACATTAACAAGAGTGTGAAGTTACAGAGTGTATAACCAAAACAATTAGGTAAAAGATGCTAAAACTCTCTATTTCACTGAGGCAATCTGCAAAATTGGGTGCCTCTGTGGGCTGGTCACTGTGAGTGACACCTTTCACATTGCACATAGTCTTAGCTCATTTTTAATATAAAACTAACCTGTAGTGCATGTTTATTGTAATAAATATCTTTTGGACCACTAAAGTCAATATGTTATTAATTGGCCAGTTTACCCTGGATACTAGATTGAGTAGTACTGGTCAAGGTTAGCTTCCCAGACAGTCACAGTAGCTTAACACGGGTTTCTATAACATTTTGACTTGATTTATCAGGAAATGCACAGGTGTAATTGTTAAAATTAACAATGACTCCACTCCAGTTACTGCAGATGTCCCAGTAAACCAGAATTTACAACTGCAGTGACTTAGAACTCGTGTTTCTAAGTGGAATGCAAGCAATTAGTAATGTTACAATATATATAACTGTACTTTACCTGTAGGTTGTAATTGAAGTCACTGATTTAACACTTACATAGCTTACACACAAAGCAGCTGTATAATGACATAAATGGTAGAATCAACATTCTGATTTCACTCCATGGCTTTTTGTTCTCAACCAGCCACAAACATGTCATAATATAATCAAACTCCTAAACAGCTGACTCAGGATCTACCTCATGTAATTCCATCTGTACTGTTTACATACTCATTTTGCACATGCATAATTGCACACTCACTGCTGAGTATTTATACTCCACAGCTCCCACATAGCATATATTCTCTCTGCATTATATTGTATTCTTGTTGTATTTTTATTTGCTTCCTTCACTTGCTGCTTTAAAGCACCTTTGATTTCTGATTTTACTGCCTATATAGATTTGTTATTGCTCATCTACTTTATATTTCACTTGTATTATGTGGCATTCATGTGGATGGCAAAGTAAGAATTTCATTGTACAGGGAAACACATTTCCTAACTGTGCATATGACAAATAAACACTTTGACCTTGACCTTGACCTTAAAAAGTGGCATCCAGAAAAGGCTGAGCCCTTTAGGAGCACAGATGGGCCCAGGACTGCCAGTTTGCCAACATATGTGTGATAAAGTCTATGCCAGGGTACTGGAGAGGAGAATTCGACCGATAGTCGAACCTCAGATTCAGGAGGAACAATGTGGTTTTTGTCCTGGCCGTGGAACACTGGACCAGCTCTATACCCTCTTCAGGGTGGCGGAGGGTTCATGGGAGTTTGCCCAACCAGTCCACATGTGTTTCGTGGATCGGGAGAAGGCATTCGACCGTGTCCCTCGCAGCGCCCTGTGGGGGGTGCTCCGGGAGTACGGGGTCCGGGGCGCTTTGCTAAGGGCTGTCCGGTCCCTGTACGACCGGAGCAGGAGCTTGGTTCGCATTGCTGGCAGTAAGTCAGACTTGTTTCCAGTGCATGTTGGACTCCGGCAGGGCTGCCCTTTGTCACCGGTTCTGTTCATTATTTTTATGGACAGAATTTCTAGGTGCAGCCAGGGGCCGGAGGGAGTCAAAAAAAATCCGTAAAGGACACAAGCCTAAGCTGGATGACCCTGCTCTCTGATCCCTCAGACGACACTGCATCAAGAACCATCAATCTTCTATAAGCGATCTAACCGCATGGGCTGAGGATGACTTTGGCTCACCTGTGTCAGGCACTACAATATGTAGTTACATCCATAAATGCAGCTGTAAACCGTACTCAAATAATTTTTTCCCTGACTGTAGTTAAAAGATTCGAGGAATCTGGAGGGAGTTCAGTGCGTAAAGGACACAAGCCTAAGCTGGATGACCCTGCTCTCTGATCCCTCAGACGACACTGCATCAAGAACCATCAATCTGCTATAAGCGATCTAACCGCATGGGCTGAGGATGACTTTGGCTCACCTGTGTCAGGCACTACAATATGTAGTTACATCCATAAATGCAGCTGTAAACCGTACTGTGTCAAAAGGAAGCTCTATGTCAAGTTACCAGCAACAAGTCCAAAAGCCAGGGTCTGTCATGGTCTGGGGTTGTGTCCGTGCCCTTGGCAAAGGTAACTTCCACTTCTGTGACGGCTCCATTAATGCTGAACAATACACAGAGGTTTTGGAGCAACATCTGCTGCCTTCAAGACGACGTCTTTTCCAGAGATGCTTGTGAATATTTCAACAAGACAATGCAAAACCTCATAGTGCCACATTACCAAGGCCTGGCTGTGGAGGAAAAGGGTGTGAGTACTGGACTGTCCTGCCTGCAGTCCCAACCTGTCCCCAGTAGAGAATGTGTGGAGCATTTTGAAATGCAAACTGCATCAACAAAGACCCAGGACTGTTGCACCTTAAGACTTGTTTACAGGAAGAATGGGACAAAATGACACCTGACACACTGAATCACCTGGTGTCCTCAGTCCCTAAATGTCTTTTAAGTGTCGTGAAAAGGAACAACAACATCACACCGTGGTAAACACTTTACTGTCAAAACTTTTTTTGAAATGTGTTGCAGCAGCAGAATTGAAATGAGTGTTTATCTTGAACAAAGAATAAAACTGATGAGGTATCACATCAAATAATGTGCTGCTGTGTTGTTTTCAATGTAATACAGGACACAGATGACTTATAAATGACTATTTTCAGGTTTAATTTAGATTTTACATTACATAGATTTTGTCCCATTTTTCCTGATAGGGCTTTAATTGATTTAGTTTAGTTTTCCAATAAAACATACCTATTTAAGGTAACATCACTGTAATTTTCACTTCCACCATTTGATCAGAAGGTTAACTTGTATCAGTGAGTGACTGTAAATAGATGCTATCATAGGAACTGAGAAAGACAGTGGAAGCAAAGCACATCAAAGTCTGGGGGAAGAGCAATGTGGAACAGAAGTCAGATGAAGTGTCAGTTCCTCATAAGCTCTTGTCATGCAGTGTGGGAGATCACACAGAGCATGTGTAGGCAAACATTAACATAGACTGCTTTCATAAGAAGGGTTGTCATTACAAGTGTGAACAAACCACAGAGGGGTTATTCCTCTTAACCATAACTAGGGAATCCCAATTATTTACGAAATAGTGATTCATCTCTATAAAGTGTGGTATGTTGTCAGTGAACGACATTATAGTGCACATTAAGATGTGTGTGTTTTTGCTTTCCCTGGTTAAATAATTGAAAAGACAGATTAGTCAGTCACTCAGAAACTATCCCCCAGAGACTATAATGTCAGTGCTATACTATCTGGCTTATTCCGAAAGCTTTCTGATTTGATGATAAAGATATTAAGCTCTGACTGGGCAAAACAAACAAGTTTGCAGCTAATGGTGAGCACAGATGTTTCATTTCTCATCTTCCCAAAGCAAATGCAGAACATTTCATTCACTGGGTTGTACAATATAAAGCCCTTAATGACAAGGCTCCATCATATCTTAAAGACCTCGGGGAGCTTTATCATCCTAACAGAGCACTTCGCTCTCAGAGTGCAGGTCTATTTGTGGTTCCTGGAGTCCACAGAAGTAGAATGGGAGGCAGAGCCTTTAGCTATCAAGCTCCTCTCCTGTGGAACCAGCTCCCAGTCTCAGTTTGGGAGGCAGACACCCTCTCTACCTTTAAGATCAGACTTACAGTAAGACTTTCCTTTTGGATAATGTTTAAGGGTGTCCTCCCATGATGCTCAGAGCTCTACAATTCTGATGAACAGTCACTGACTACATCAACCTTCCCAGTGTTTGTTTGTTGTGCTTTGATGCTTTTCTATAATAATGTCAGGTTTAGGCTTCACTATGTAAAGTGTCCTGTTGTTGTAAACTGGCACTATACAAATAAAACAACTGAATTGAAACAAAGCATTTACAGATATAAAAACTTTAAAAAAAGCACAAAGAACAAAGTTTTATCTATCCATGCCTCCATCCTTATTCCAGCAACACCTGGAGGCCCGGCTGATAAGGAGGAGAAAGAGCGGCACCACTTAGATTTCACTCAGAAGACAAGAACTGTTAGATCTTAATGTAGTTTCATCTCTGTTAGGCTGTTTGCTCAGCATGGCACTAGATGTTGCTCCTGTATGATGAGAAGGGTGGAGGTGGACTGGAGAAGTGTGTGTATTTGTATGTGCTTGCAAGAAAACATTGCTTGCTTATTTAGTGTGAAAGGAAATCCTTAGTAAACAACAACAGTTCACAGGAGTCGTTTTCACATGTAAATGGTGGCACAGTGTGGACATCCTTTGGTTTAGGAAGCCAACTTCAAGCTATACATTGAGACTAGAGCAAGAAAGCTGCAAAGTAGAAGAAGCACTGCTGGGATTTGAACCCAGGATCTCCTGTTTACTAAACAGGCACTTTGACCAACTAAGCCACAGCGTCCGGAGATTAGCTTCTGATAATGATTATCTTATGATAAGGATTATCTAGAAAATACAGGAAAATTGTTGGTTTTACTTTCATCATAGCAAAGTGTTGCGTTGAATAAGTACAGATAGCTATTTAAAGAACCTAATAAT